ATAGCAAAGTAAGCAACAGATGACCACAGCTCCTTCTAGCTCTTATATCTTATCCAGGCTACTTAGGGCAGGTAGCATTCACACCCTTAATCCTAGAGCCCTTGAGCCTAGCATTGCACAATGAATCAATCCAGTGTCACACATTGTGGATCCAGCTACCTCTGAAAAAGCCCCACCTATGCATGAGGCTTTGGGGGAATATCTAGACACAAGCCATAACACCCCTGTTATGGTTGATATATTATGTCAACCTGAGGAGTCTAGAGGCTTGGCCAAGTGACTCAGCAGTTCTACATCCTAGGGTGAAAAGGATATGTCCTTCCTGCTCTAGAATGTTTTTTGGTATTCATCCTGAGCCTGTGCAAGAGAAGGACACTGAGCTGGTGTGGGCGTGGGTGGATAGCCAGCATACAATATAAGGGAAGAAAAGAGCCTTGCTCCACCCCTTCTTTTGTTCTTGCTGCTTTTGCTGTCTTATGCCACCTTGAAGTGTTGCCCTTGTCCCATGCCACCCTGCTTTGGAGCCAGCTGATTACAGACTGAAACCTCCACAAACTGTGAGCTAAATAAACCTTAACTTTGGGCATTTTTAATTAATAAATATTTTCTGATCCTTGTTCTAAGACTTTGCCTTCTGGAACTTATACTAAGTCATCCATCAACAGAATTCCCACATCCTCATCCTCTTCTCTGAAAGTTGAGCTCACCTTCTTGATCCAATGAAAACACAGATAGATCTTCCTTGACATTACTGAAGCTCTGTAAAGCTACAGCCATTTTTCTTTCCTACAGCTCACACACCAGTGATTCCAGAGATATAGGTATCTTCCTTGCACTTCACACATGCCTCCCAGACCATACTCTCTTTCCCCTCAGGGAATCATCCAGTTCCTTTGAGCATCAGATCCCATGGCTTTCTCTTCATCTTTGTAACATTCATCTATGGAGCTCCTCATCACTCCTTTTTGGTTTTTGAGGATTTTATTCTGAACTTAATGTCATTTTCTACTAAAACTCTTGTGCAGAATTTTTAGGTATAAAAAATAAAATAAATAGTTACTGACCATCACCTCTTCTCCTTCTAGCTCATCTCCTTTTTATATTAGTCAGAGGTCTCCAAAGAAACAGAAACAATACACACAAATGCTCCTCAAACTATAATAAGGTTACATCCTAATAAACTCACCTTAAATTGAATATATCATAACTTGAAAATTCACTTAGTATACCTTACCTTCAGAAGACCATAACTCAACAGTATAGTAAATTATAGAGTGTTGGTTGTTTTCCTTCCAGAGCACATGACTGACTGGGTGCTACAGTCCACTGCTATTGCCCAGCATCACAAGACAGTCATGCTGCATATAGCTAATCTGGGAAAAGAAAAAAATTAAAAATACAAGTAGAGCACCTACTGAATGCATAGTGCATTTAGATCATAGTAAAACTGAAAAATCATAAATTGAACCATCATAAGTTGGGGACC